ACAGAAAGGAAGAGAGAGGGATAGAGAGTTAGAAACATCAATGAGAGAGAATCATCAATTAAAGTAAGATTTTAAACCAAGGTACATGCCTTTGACTGGAATCGAACCCGGGACCCTTCAGTCCGCAGGCCCATGCTCTATCTACTGAACCAAACCGGTTTTTGCTTTACGTTATTTTTAAAAAGAATAATCTATTAATACTGTGCATAAAAGTTTAGCAAAACAAATATTTTAGATATTACTTGTAATTTTAATTCTACTATACTCATTTTCCTAGTGAGCTCTTTTTACTTTATGCACATCTCCTCTTCTAAGTAAATAATTAAATAGATCCCATTACCCATTACAATTTTTTTTTTAATTCTGGAAAGATAAAAAGGTGGCATTCATGAAGGAATCTTTCCACATCTCCAGTACCCTATATTGAAGTCAGTTTAAAACATATTCATTATTAATTACGGTCAGTAATTAAGTCATTATACATTTCTTAGAACAATATATCTTGATCTGTTTTTGTGGGGATGGTCCAAGGGCATCTCACTCTCCTGTCTAGCTTTCACAAAGGAAAGGATTGCTTTCAGACCTGCTACTGGTGCAGCTTAGGGATTTTCTAAAAACAGACCTTAACTAGGAATCCTCTCTTCAAAAACCAGCAGCTCCCTGCTTGGCCTGCCTGCTGGGTGCACTCTGATTCTTCCTTAGCCCGCCTTTCCCCATGGCAGCTGGTCCTCCTGGGTGCTTTTCAGCAGTCAGTGAAGAGTGAGACCTCAGAACATAATTTGATCATAGGAATATCAGCCTTTGCTTTCTTTATAATTATTGTAAATTAGCAGCAGTTTTTTCTTCCAATAAAATAATCTTCATTTTTTTTTTTTTACCTATTATGAATCTGTAAAATAAGGTTTGCTAACTAGATAAAATAGGTGCTATTATGTGTGTGAGTGTTTAAGCTACCAAAGGTAATAAATTGTTATCATTACTGTGAAAGTATTCATTATAAAGATAGTAGCAATTCAGAGAATTGTTCTTCTGTTCCCACCAGTTCCCCACAGCTCCCTATAGGATGCTTTACTGGGTTAGCTGTGTCATAAATATGAAACAGATGAGGTATTTTGTCTTATGACAGCATTATCTAATTTAGTCCTTTAAGTAATTGTGAGTGCTTTTCTTTCTAATCAGACAAAAGTAAGATTTTAAAATATTCCATTATTTAAACTTACAGCTTTATGTTAGTTTTCATAATATTAAATGTCAACAGAAAGACATTTAATTTTAATAATGGGTCACTGTAAGAACTTTTAAGAACACAAATGTGTTGTTAACCTTAACGTGATATTTTACATTTTCTTGTATTCTTTCCTAAAGATCAAAATACCTAAGATTAGAAATACTTATCTGCAAAATGAAAATAGGGAATGTACAGTTTCATTTGTCTATGGGGAGGGGGGTGGAGCACTCAAAGTATATTCTCAGCTGAATAAATACAGCTCTGAAATTGTCTGCATATGATCTGAGAATTGATTTTTGAATCAGGTTCATAAGAAAAATAAGATATAGTCATGCACCTCATAACAACAGTTCAGTCAACGATGGATCACATCTAGAGGTAGTGGTCCCAAAAGATTAAAATGGAACTGAATTTCTTGTAAGAAATGGAAGGAAATGTGTGGTTCAGAAGGAATTTTTTTTTTTTTCTGAGATCAGAGCAATATCTGTAGGGCTTGACAATAGATTCCCTCTCACTCACTGCACCTCAATTTTAAGTGCACAAATTACATCCCAGTCACTCAGCCATTGACCTGGTTCAGACAGAGGAGCCGGTGCCCAGCGCTACCTGATCAGAGCACACTGCAGCCCCCAGGCCTAGCGTGATGGTCTTCAGAGGGCATCACTGGACCCAGGACCCTGCCCAGGGACCCAGGCCTTAACAGGTATACGTGCACTTGAATGAACGCTTTCTGTGGGAGTGCACAGCCAGCCTCTCCCTGTACTTTGGAAATGTTTCCAGGCTATAAGGGTTCAAAGCATAGGTAAGTTTATTTGTTCCATCCATCCAATGCCAAAGAGTGCTCTTCATGACAGATAGAGTCAACGGAACCCAAAACAAATTTCTGTCAAAATAGAATCCTCAGTTTTATGCTCTCTCCATGTTAAGTGACACTTTTATTTTAAAGTGAATTTATTGGGGTAACATTGCTTAATAAAATAATGTAAGTTTCAAGTGTACAATTCTATGACACACCATTTGTATATTTCCTTGTGTGCCCACCACCCAAAGTCAGATTTTCTTCCATCCCCATATATTTGACCCCCTTTGCCCTTTACTACCCTTCTCCCCCATTCCTCTGGTACGACAGAGTTCTTTAATCTGGCCACCGCTCCAACATGCAGTGGCCAAAATCACATTGCTATGACAGTCCCCTGTGTTTTTTGTTTCTCCGTCTTGACTTCTCATTCCTCAGGCCACCTGTCAGTCCCTCCTCTCAGTCCCTGTCCTGGTGATCTGTGCCTCACCCAGCCCGTTCCTCCTCCTTGACATTTCCAGTCAGTCCAGCCCAAGTCCTTCTCCATGGAGCAGCACTGGAAGCTTTGGTGCTCCTACTCTGTCTGGCAGAAGCAGGGGGAGGGCTGTGGGACATGTTTATAAAGTCCACAGCCATGCACAGAAGTGACCCAGGCCTTCACACTCACTTGTCACTCACCCAGAGCAGTCTCCAGTCCTGATAGTTTCACTTAAGGTAGATCCCTATGCAGGTGTGCCTTTAAAAATATATTTTATGCCGATTTTCACTGTAGTTTTTCTATATTTAGATACACAAGTGCTTACCATTGTGTTACAATTGCCAACAGTACTCAGTACGATAATATGCTGTGCAGGTTTGTAGCTTAAAGGCGAAAGGTTATAACATAGCCTACATTTTAGTAGGCCACACCATCCAGATCTCTATGTGATATTCTCACAAGGACAAATTCACCTAACAACACATTGCTCAGAATGTCTTCCTCTAGTTAAGAATGCACGGCCATACTTATAAGCACTGCTGTTTAGTCCAGAATTCATAGAAAATAAGTTAAAATCTAAGGAACAAATAGAAGCTGAGTCAAGTTTGTGATTTTTAACTTGTTAGGTATCTGTTCTTTGCAAACATAATGAACCATTTCCTCCCTGCAATTACTGTTTTCTAACGTCAGAGGATCAATACAGTAATCCTCCCTTATCTTCAGGGGATATATTCAGAGACCCCCAGTAGTTGCTAGAAACCACAGTTAGTAAAAACCCTATATATACTATGTATTTTCCTATTTATACATATCTATGATAAAGTTTAACTTATAAAGTAGGCATAGTAAGAGATTAACAATTAATAATGGGTAATTAATACACTGAAATAAAAATTATTGGAATGTAGTCTCTCTCTCTCTCTCTCTCTCTCTCTCTCTCTCTCTCTCTCTCTGTATATATATATATATATATATATATATATAGATATATATATATATATATATCCCTTTTTTTCTCTCCCTTTCCCCCCCTTTTTCCCCCCTCATCTCCCCTGGTAACTGATCTGATAACAGAGACAGCTAGATGAGTAGGGATGAGTAGCATAAACAGAGAGGAGAGAGCTGGACAAAGGAATGGTTCATGTCTTAGGTGTGACAGGAGGGGTGGTGCAAGATTCTGTCACAATACTCCGAATGGCACCCAGTTTAAAACGTATGAATTGTTTGTTAATGGAATTTCCCACATAGTATTTTCAGGCCCTGGTTGACCATAGGTAACTGAACTGCAGAGAAGTGGGGACTATTGTAGTCTTTCTTCCAGGAGGCTGATGAGATAGAAATTGATCCAGTTGTTTGCGGGCACCTATGGGAGGCAGCTGCTTAAACTCAAGATGTACATTTCTACTTGTTTTGAGAATTCACTGGTGTAGGCAGCAGTGCGTAGTTCATTTCTTCGATAATGAGTCTCATCCACCACACGCATCCAGCTGGATGTCATTCCAGTCCCTTCATGCCACTGCATTGATGTCTTTCCCCCCCCGCACTTTCCAGGCGGACCCAGAATATTGGTTCAAAAGGAAAGCAAGTTGTAGATATAACAGCAACAATAACAAAGGGAATGGGAAAGAGAAGATGACATCTATCCTCCAGATAATTTTTTTTCACATCTCTTCATTTATACCCCAATCTTTTACACATTTTCTTCTTATCTTGAACCTTTTAAAACTTTCTGAGACCCCCTTCCATACTATTCATATAATTCACTATGAGAAGCCAAGCCAAAGACAATTTTGAAGCAAAAGAGCATTTTCATGAGAATATCAGTGCAGCACAGAGGGAACAGTGTCTTGATCTTTAATTAAACGAGGATATTTTGAATGCCAGTCGCAGCTGAGAAAATTAGTGAAAGCAGCTAGCTGCAAGGTTGGCCCTGTGAAGTGTTTGTGTGAGAAGCGTTAGCACAAAATCACTTTGAGCTTCTTCACGGCTTCTGTTACCCAGAGTAATGGAGGTGTTCAAAGTTTCAAGTTGCAAAAAAAATTAAGTCTATTAATTAATGTTTGGCAGGCCCCTATATCACTTTGGGAGAGGATGGTAATTAGGCTGAGGATGTGTCTCTTGTATCAAATGTAACGTGCAGACCATTTCTGCGGTGGTCATTTTTCTCCTGTGTTGGAAGGAGTCAGAATTTCAACCCTTAAAAATCTCTAATCATGCTCACGACTTGTCTAGTACTATATAGTTAATAGAAAAAGAAAAGCTGGTTTGTATAAATGTACAATATTTTTAAAAATTGACCTTTATTGTTAAAGTATTACAGGTATCCAGTTTTCCTCCATTGATTCCCCTTAGGCCTTCACCACACTATGTTTTTTAATAGCAGAAATTATAACTATGTCATTCATTTTATGTTCTGAATTTGTTTTCTTACTTTTTTATATTTTCCCTGTGTGTGTGTTTTTTTTAATTTTTTAATTTAATTTTATTTTTTTAACCAGGGTTATTTTGGAATTCAGCTTCCTTTAATACCGAGGCTTCGTACCTTCATTTCCCCACTTTCCACGGAGAACTCAGTGCAGACGTGTCTTTCTTTTTTAAGACCACAGCTTCCTCCGGGGTGTTTTTGGAGAACCTGGGGATTACCGACTTCATACGGATAGAGCTACGCTGTAAGTCTCCTTTTCCCGAAGAGTCTATGGGATTCTGTTCAGTAACAAATCCTTCAGCTAATAATTAAAGAATCATGTTTCTACTTGATCCACTGAATCACTTCCTTGTGTCCCTTTGAAAAAATTATATGAAATTAGTATTTCTGTAAGAAAATAATTTAGTATTTAACTTGTGATAGTTTGGGGAAATCATTGTATTCTCTAGTACCATTTAAGACACATTTTAAATTCAAATAATTAAAAAAATTTAACTAAATTCTAAGTAAATAAAAAGTTATTTAATTAAATAGCCCAGCCATATTATTTTGCTATTCTCTTAGACTGTTATTAATATCTTGATATCAAATGTATATCACATGCTTTAAAATTTATACAAACTTTGAATTACTTAGAATTACTTTTTAAAAAAAATAAAATGCTATTTAGTTTTCTTGCCCTGGATAAATAACTTATTTTTATCAATCTAAAACATTCACTTTGAGGATGAATTTCTGAAAATTTGTTTTTTCTTCCCCAAATTACAAATGTATTTTACCGCCTCATTCCACATCTTTTCTTTCCTGCTGTAATTGGGTTCTCCCATAAATTCAAATGATCAGTTTTATACTGTGCTATGTGCTATTACTAAGTATGTTGACGACTGGGCTCTCTGACTTGGCCAATCTTCGTGTCTGACATTTGCAGCTCCGGTGGTAGTGGCTTTTTCCTTTGATGTGGGGAACGGGCCCTCTGAGGTCTCGGTGCAGTCCCCCACTCACTTCAACGACAACCAGTGGCACCACGTTAGGGTTGAAAGGAACATGAAAGAGGCATCCATTCAAGTGGATCAGCTCCCACCGGAGACCCAGCCCGCTCCCGCTGATGGCCACGTCCTTCTGCAGCTTAACAGTCAGCTCTTTGTGGGTAAGTTCTGCTCCTGGGCAGTTTGTCATTTAATTATATGGTGTGAGCGCAGGGATGAGCCAACATAAAATAATACCAACTATAAAAATAAAGATTGAGAACCTGTGTTCCACACTGAGCCAGGTGTTTTGTCTCATCCCTACATCCAACCTGTGAAATGGGGGTTACCCCTTTTTTATAAAGGAGATCACTGAGAGGAAAGGGGTTGAAGTGACTTGCCTTCAGAAATCCACCTAATAAATGTATTCAAATTTGCCTTCGACTAATTCCTCAACCTGCATTCTTAATGTTACAGGTTTTATGATTTGTCCCAGGACTTGTTTTAAAGTTAGTGCATTTAGTGTGATATTGGTGATGGTTATCTCTGTTCCTAGGAGAGTCCAGGAATATCTCCTTGTAATTCCAAGCAATGCCAACCAAGAACTTTTCATCAAAAATAGGACAGTCGCAGAGAAGAAGGGTATAAAATTCATGCTTGATCAGTCTCCCCACTTAGTCTGCTGGTATCTCTCATTTTGCCCATATTTTGGATATTTTCTTACTACTTATTTCATATTTATATTCAAATGTTCCTTTACTTCCTAAATGCATTTGCTGGATATTTATAGACTTGCTACTGGAATCCTTCTGATTGTATTGGTTTTGTTTTGCATCTTTGCCAATTATTTTACAGGATTTACTATAAAGTTTAAGGAATTCTCTCTTATTTGATCACTTTTTCTATAATATATGTTAATATATGTGAGGACACAGTACCACTAAATCAGGACAAGTTATAAAGGATCAGAAATTATATTTCAAGCATTTTTAAGAGTTTTGTTTTAGAACATAATTCATGAGATTCCATGACATTATCTATTGCTTAACAATCTTGTTCTATTAATTCCCTTCCACTGAGGAGGGTGAAGTTTATTTCTTTTATTTTTGAGTAAGATATATTTGAGGTTTCAAGTACATTTATGTACTCATTGTTTATATCACTTATTCTTTCTTTCACTCAATAAATATTTAATGAGTAAAACACTGTAATGGACAATCTAATCATGATCTTGTGGCCACTCGATTGATTGGTTTAAGACAATGGACATAAAAAAGAATAGATGAGAAGAAGTACATATGTTTTCTTTTAATAACATGCTAGAAGCCCAGTCAGGAAGTTGACATAGATATTTCTTGAATTACAAAAAATGAGAGATGGCCACAAGTAAAAGTATGGCAATTTAAAATCTGTCAGGATCTAGGAAATAGCCTACCTATTCTTGAAAATTGAAAAGGCTAAAACAGGCCTCAGATCTTTCAGAGAAATCGGCTGCAGTTTGCCAGTGCATGAACTTTTATCCTTGGTATGAATTTTAACTTCAGAGAAATGGAATCACTATATATTGTGTCTGATAGGAATCCTGGCCTTAGCCTGATTTCAGGTGGGTGTAATGGATAGAAGTACTATTGTGGTATCAGAAAACTGGATTAGAGCAGACTTGAGTCTTTTACCATCAATCATGTGTTATAATTTTATTAAGGACCTAAGAGCCTTCATCTATATGGAAGCAATCCATAGGCTTTTGAATTTCCATATATAAGTTAAACCCCAGGATGACTGTGTTACTAGAAAGTTTTAAAAACGGACATCTTTATTATGTTTAAGTCAAAATCATTAAAAATTAAAAAAGAAGAGGCAAGAAGAGAATCTCAGAAAAAGAAAGTTACATCTACTAATAAAAATCTATTTATACAATTCCCTTTCCCCTGATCACAAGTAATTGAGTAAACTGAAACGGTTAATGTGATGTTATTTTAAAAAGGATTATTTTTTTGAAAAAGCCTTGCAGCCACAGGCACATACAAGACCACTGGCTGTCCAGAGCAGCGGTCGCCAGCCTTTCGGACCTCGCGGAGCACCAGTGGTCCGCGGAACCCTGGTCTAGAGGCCACATGTGGGTCTTGTTTACATCTTCCTCTACTTTCTTAAGAAAGGGTCCCAACCAAGTAAATAAAACAATTCTTACAAGACAAAATATTAATTTACAAAATTATTGTTCATCAAATCACCACCATGGCAGTGAACTTTAGGTAGTAGAGTAGCAGGGAGAGAAACAGCAGGAGGAAAAGAGTGGTCCCGGATGAGGTGGAGGCATTGTTGAGAAATTTGGATTTTATTTTGAGGGATCAGAGGCATGGCATCATCTGATTTATATTTTCCACACACTCTCTTGCTGATGTGAGGAGTATGGATGGAGGGAGGAGGTTAGGAGCAGACTATGGAAGTAGTCCTTGTGAGGGATAGTGGTGCGTAGGCTAAAGTGGAGATGGACAGATAGACTCAGGACATTTTATTTTATTTATTTATTTATTTATTTATTTATTTATTTTAACAAATGTTTTATTTTTTTTCTATTTGCATATTAGCTTTTTATTATATAGAATTGTTTTTTCATCTTTATTTAAAGTTGAAAGTATTACACATGTCCTCTTTATTTCCCCAGTCACCCCTTCTAGTGCCTCACACTTCCCTCCACCACCATACTATTGTCTGTGTCCATGTGTTATGCATATATGCATACACTCTGAGACATCATGTCCTAGTCCCTGGAACCAGCAAATGTCATTGTTTGTGGCAAAGTCTTTGCAGATGTGATCACATTAAGGATCTTGAGATGAGGAAGTTATCCCGTGGGGCCTAACACTACCACATGGAGGTGAGGGTGGGTGGGTGGGTGGGAAGAGATAAACCAAAGGACTTGTATGCATATATGCATAACACATGGACTCAGGACATTTTAAATGCCAGGGCACAACGTACTGATGCCATGGCTATTGCTGTTATTGTTCACAAGGTACCCAGCTCATGTCCTTGGGGACAAGACCCTGCTGTGTAGGGCTTTGGGTTCCTTCCATCATTCTCAGCTTTTTCATTTCACCTAAAGTTAGCTTTTCTTTGTTTCTTCCTTTATCTTATTTGGTAGCACGATTAAAACTGTCCCTGGCTCCACACTCCAGATTACATACTAAAACCACACTGTGGTCAGGCTGCAAACACCTGCTTCACTGCCCAGCAAATGTATCTTCACCTCCTTTCTCTCCTTCAGTGAGATCCCACCCAGGCCATACTCACACTCTCACCAGGAAATAAGGGCCTTTGTTCAGATGCTGGGACTTATCACAGAAGCTGTTTCCCCACATGATAATACCTTCAAATATCGATAGATGAGCCTTAAGTATGCTCTCCAACCCAATGACTCATTGCATGACAAGGAGTCTGCTTTATTCCAATATAATTAGTTTTTTGGTTATAATTTTAAAGGGTAATTTCATTTCCCTTACTTACAAGTTCAGAAGTTTAAATTGTAGTACACCCTGTCCATCTTAAAAATAATTACAGCTCATCAGTATTTTCAAGTGTGGATAACAACTATCTTTTGTATTTGGGTACTGGGATAAATGAGTACATGTAATTGCAAAGAGTAAGTCTGTAGTTTTCAGCATAACTTTTTTCTCCTAAAATGTGGTTTTAAATCCAAGACACAAATGGTGAGGATGATAATAATAATAATAAATAATGATAGTAATAATCTTTTAAATTACATGGAAACACAATCTGTATACATGGAGGACAAAATTGAAAAACTTGGTCAGTATAAAATACATTTTTTTTTTTATCATCCTCACATTTAGTAGTTTTTTACCAAAAATACACCCTCTGCTTTGTAAACAAATTTATCAGAAAACTAAAAAAACGATTGTAAAATGTTTTAAATATCAAGTAAAATTGGGAAATAGTAGAACTTTTAATAATGTAGAAATGTTTGTTTTGGATACTATGGTTAACATTTTTTATGTACATATAAGACACAGTGGATATTTGAATATATGTTAATTTTGATTTAAATTATATTCTTTATCTCATTGTACTATTATAGGCAGGCCTGTGTTGATAATATTTATTGGCATTACATTTTTTAGCTTAAAATTCTCTCAATCTCTCAGAAGTGATTCCTGCAATGAGGTAACATGTAAGAACTGAGGGCATTTTCTCCATTTCTAGTTCCACTCTCTCTCCTAAAGACTAGTCATAAAGTGTAGTCACATCTCCGAGTGAAATTCTGAGGCAAGGCTAATACTTTAACTTCTGAGTAAATCACTAAGAATAAATAGAAAGCATGATTTAAAATGTAATTCAGCTGAGCAACGATTATATATGGTGATAGAAATAAGAGTAAGTAAATTATAAATAGTTTCAGAGACTCAACTAGTATTAGCCTTATACCAAGGAATTATAAAACAGAAGGATGTTAACAATCCCTGTATTCCAAAATATTAGAGCAAATAGCTTCAATTAATGCCACTGTAGTAAGTTATACAAAGTGGAGTAATAAAATAATGAACAAAAATTCTTGCATTAAAAAGCGAGAAAAGTTAACATTAATGTAATGTGATAGATTAGAAACAAAGAGCACCAATGAAATAAACATCTTCTCTTCCCCCAAAAAACCTCAGTCATCATGTTACTTTTCATTATGACAATCATCATGTCATTTTTGTAATAAAAATGAATCACCCTTTATTTGTAGGCCATCTTTCTCCATCCTTGCTCTTAATTATGGCATTGAGTCTATACCCACCTTTCACATTCTTTCACTTTGTCCTGTTTGGTAAACAGAACTATTTAAGATATGATGACATATGTCATCATATCTTAAATAGTTCTATTCAGAGGTGCTTATCCCTTACCTTAAAAACTAAGTTCAGCAACATAGAGCTAATTGGTGTGTAAAATGTATGCCCTTGAACTTGTTAACTCTGAGGACTCAATGTCCAGAATCACTGGTCAAATTCCCTTACGCTCACAAACATTCCCCAGCCACAGAAGTGATGGAGGGAAAAGAATCAATCATTTTTAAAGCTGAAATGTGACAGTGGTCATTTTCTATTTTGGTTTGTAAACTCAGCATTTTCTTAGAAGCTTCTTAAATTAGCCTTGAATTGATTTTCATTCAACCAGC